GCGTGGCGTTGCGGTACGCACGCGCTCGCACGTTCAGCGCTCGTCCCAGGGAAGCGGGAGGCCAATCGAGGGGCCCGAGGTTCGAGTCGAAGAAGGGCGAGGCAACGCAGAAGGCAGGCTAACCAAAGCGGCCGAGGGGGGAGGTGGACCACGGGGGGCGAGCGAGGGACAAGCGGTTGGAGGCGCGGCTCGCAGTGGGAAGCTGGCGGTGGCGCGGCCTCAGAAGACGAACGCATCGCGTCGGCAGAGCAGATGCCACCTGGTCGGTGGGGTCAAGACGAGAGGAAGAAAAAACGGCATCAACGGAAATGTGCGAATATCCGCGCGAAATTGTTGTGATAGTGTTGATATAATAATAATAATAATAATAATAATAATAATAATAATAATAATAATAATAATAATAATAATAATAATAATAATAATAATAATAATAATAATAATAATAATGATGATGATAATAATAATGATAATATCAATAATAATAATAAGAAGAAGAAGAATAGTAATCATAATAATAATAACAATACTAATAATAATAGTAATAATAATGAAAAGTCATATATATATGCATACATAATTAAATAACTACATAAATATACATATGAATATCAGCTAATAATGTATGTTATATATCAACATAAAATTACGACGACAACAACAACTACAACAACCACGACGACGACGACGACGACGACGACGACAACAACAACAACAACAACAGCAACAACAGCAACAAAAACAACAACAACAACAACAACAACAGCAACAACAACAACAAAAACAAAAACAAAAACCAAAACAACAAAACAAACTCCGCGCGGATCTTGGCGGCGCCTCCAGGGCCGCCCGAGAGCCGGCGCCGATCCAGGTAAGCCGCACGGAGTTCTAAAAGTTTGCGCGTGCCAATACTATTTCACTTCAAAAACACCAGATGCGACACACGAACCACGTGCCACCAACAGCTCGCCTCTAGAAATCGGTCGCCAACGTTCACTGGACATACAAATGGCGTGACCAAAGGCGGCCGCCGACGCGAAGAGCGTACTGCAAACAGAAGCCGCACTGTCCCCTCAAGGGGGCGCTTCTTGGTGACTGCCCCCACTGGGCTTTGCAGAAATGAACCGTCAAAGCCTCAGGCGGATTTGAGGTTTGAGTCCAGATGCAAAGCTGCCGAAGCAGCGAACGCAACATGTTACATGTTGAGACATGGGCCAGGGCCCCTCGCGATGCGCACTCCAACTCGCAACATCGTCGAAGCACACCATGTCAAGTACAGACATGCGCCAATTCTGTAGCAACCACATCAGGTGGCACCTCTAACCAAAAGAAGCGCGCCAGGCATCGTTCAGAACAATAGCCCTGTTCGAACGTCTCCTAAAGGCCTCCCAGATGGGGGCGGAAGGTCGCACTGAATCATCGTCGGCGATGCATCGACGAAGCCAGCGTGGAGAAAATCGGGCCCCAATAACCGCATCGCCGATGCATCGGCGATGCGGAGCGATCCTTCGACCCAATCAACTGGGACCCCACCTGGGAGGCCTAGATTGCTGTTTGTCCAGGCAGCGGGCGCAAGCGAGCCGAAGCACGTGCAGGCGCCGGTCGGGCAACTGGCGGAACACGCTGGGAGCAAAGTGGGGCACGATGGAACGCGGGGAGAGAGGAGGCGGGGGAGGGGACAAGAGCCGCTCAGAACGTGAGGTGCTCAGAGGCCTAGAACAAAGGACCTGTCTGAGCGTCTACCCGCTCCGATGTGCAAGAACTGCTGCGAGCCTATGCCCTGAGAGAGCTCGGCCACGGCACAAATATCGGGCGTGCCGCATTGAGACGGGCTGCAGCAGAGCGGCCGGCGCGGGGGAGGCGGTCCTGCTCCTCTCCTTCTTCCGGCTCTTGCTCCGGTCCTTCTTTCGGCTGCCGCTGCGCTCTTTTCTCTTGTCCTTGTCCTTCTCGCGGTCGCAGCCGCGGACGACGGGCAGAATAAGATGTAGTGCCCGACGGGCACCAAAGGGCTTGGGGCAGGGTGGCACAGCCAAGACGAACAATCGCTCTGTCGCTGACGTCAGCTTATCCAAAGAATGCATTACCGTGGCGCCCAAATATCGGCGGAGATCTCAGAACTCCTTCCCCGCAGCACCCCTGCTCATCAAGCTGTCTTCTCCTCCTCCTCCTCCTCCTCCTCCTCCTCCGCCTCCTCCGCCTCCTCCGCCTCCTCCGCCTCCGCCGCCTCCTCCGCCTCCTCCGCCTCCTCCGCCTCCGCCTCCGCCTCCACCTCCTCCTCCTCCTCCTCCTCCGCCTCCGCCTCCGCCTCCGCCTCCGCCTCCGCCTCCGCCTCCGCCTCCGCCTCCGCCTCCGCCTCCGCCTCCGCCTCCGCCTCCGCCTCCGCCTCCTCCTCCTCCTCCTCCTCCTCCTCCTCCTCCTCCTCCTCCTCCTGCTCCCTCCTCTTCCTCAGAGGCCCCCTAGAGAAGGGCACGCCTGCGGCCAGAGGCCGCGAGGCGCGCAGCGCGAGGATCTCTTCTCCGCGCCGCTGCGGGCGGGCGGCCTGCGCATGTAGGTGCCCAGAGCAGGGCCAACGCCTGGGCTCGTCTTGTCTGGTCCGCACACGCCCACCCCTGGCGGCGCGCAGAGGGGGGCAGGGGGAGGGGGAAAAAATCACGACGGTTGGGTTTTCCCTATTCTCGAGCCCCCAGGGGCCCCTTCGGCTCGGGACCGTCAAAGAGCGACTCGGGATGAAAAACAGGTCCCGGGGAAGGGTTCCAGACCTCTGGGGGGGAATAACTTGTGGCGCGCAGAGGGGGTCGGGGGAGGGGGAAGGCTTCTCAGAAGCACCCCTGCTTCTTTAAAGGCGCGGGACTCATATCTGCAGCTCAGGCCCGCGCCTTCTAATAAGAACCAGGGGTGCTCCTGAGAAGCCTTCCCCCCTCCCCCTACCCCCTTGTGCGCGTGGCCGGCATCCACTCTTGCGCCCTAAGGCCGAACTGAAGCGTGATATGCTCCACTCCAGGAGTGCCTGACGAGGCCGAAGGGGTGCAGAGAGGAGGGGGACGGGCAAAACGCGACACCACGCCTCCTTCGAATGCCAGTGCGGTCCTTGTCCTTGTCCTTATCCTTCTCGCGACTCCTGTCTCGGTCACCTCGGTCCTTGTCCTTCTTTTTGTCACGGCTTCGACTCTTGCTGTCGCGCTTCTTGTCTTGTCTCTCGTCCCGACTGCGACTTCTCTCCTTGTCCTTTTTCTTGACGTCCTCGTCCTCCTTCCTCTCGTCATCTTTGTCCTTGTCCTTTTTCTTCTTGTCCTGCAGATTACCCATCGGTCGGAAGAAGTAGGTGGGGACACGAAAAAGGAAGGTGGTGAAAGCCGATTGGGCTTCCGCGCGCCCCCTGAGGAGGACGGAAACGGCGAAGCCACTCGATCATCGAAGTAGGAAGGCGCTCAAAGTGGATTGGAATATGGGAATCCAAAAATGCCTACTTTCAACGACCGATGGGCAACGTCTGGCCAGCAATCACTGAGAGAAGGTATCGGCGAATATGGTTCGCCTGCTCGTGTCGATGCTACGCATGGGCCACCGCTGGTCCGTGGCTATCACCACAGAATCGACCGTGAGCAGAGCTGCGGGATGAATGGCAGGGGGAAATCGATGCAAGCTAGCACATTACAGGAAAAAAAAAAAAAAAAAAAAAAAAAAAACGGCAAAGCAACCTAACAGCGATGTGTAGAAGCATATCTGAAAGCATTTCCCTTAAGATTCAAATGAAAATCCAGTTGTAGAATTCTGCTGTTCTCGCAGTCGTAGTCGCATTCGCGATGACAGTCGCAGCGGCAACGGCAGTCGCAGTCACAGCCTCAGCCTCAGCCTGCCTCAGCCTCAGCCTCAGCCTGCCTCAGCCTCAGCCTGCCTCAGCCTCAGCCTCAGCCTGCTTCAGCCTCAGCATCAGTCTGCCTTCAGCCTCGGCCTCAGCCTCAGCCTGCCTCAGCCTCAGCCTCAGCCTCAGCCTCAGCCTCAGCCTCAGCCTGCCTCAGCATCAGCCTGCCTCAGCCTCAGCCTCAGCCTGCCTCAGCCCAGCCTCAGTCCTGCTTTCAGCCTCAGCCTCAGTCTGCCTTCAGCCTCGGCCTCAGCCTCGCCTGCCTCAGCCTCAGCCTGCCTCGTCCGCAGCATCACTGCCTGAGTATTCAAAATGTGGCCCAGGAATGGAGTTCTGGGAACTAGAAGAACACGAAGTGGCCTACAGTTGGCTCCGGGCATTCAAAATCATGCCCAGGAATGGAGTTCTGGGAACTTGAAGAGCACGAAGTGGCCTACAGTTGGCTCCGGGCATCCAAAATGTGGCCCGGGAATGGAGTTCTGGGAAATCGAAGAGCACGAAGTGGCCTACAGTTGGCTCCGGGCATCCAAAATGTGGCCCGGGAATGGAGTTCTGGGAAATCGAAGAGCACGAAGTGGCCTACAGTTGGCTCCGGGCATCCAAAATGTGGCCCGGGAATGGAGTTCTGGGAGCACCAAGAGCGATTTTGCGAGGATGTCCCAAGCGATTTCGGCTTCGGCGGCAGTCGCGGCGGCAGCCTGTCCGGGTCCCGCCCCGACCCCCCTGTGGAGTCATCTGCTGCTCTCTTTTGAGACCACTAGAAACCTATCAGCAAGAGCTGTTAGGTAACAAGAAGAGTAGCCAAGCGCCATGAAACTTGAGACGTGCTGTGGACTCTGGTGGCACTCGAGAGTGAAATTTGAACCAGGAATCTGCCATCGTGCATATCCGCTCTATCGTTTGCACTCCCTCTACCTCTCCCTCTCTCTCTCTCGCGCGCTCCTCCCTCTCTCTCTCTCTCTCTACCTCTCTCTCTCTCTCTCTTTATCTCTCTCTCTCTCTCTCTCTGTCTCGTTTTCTCTTGGTCGCTTCCGCGCCAATGCTTCATCAACACCTTCCATCAGTATAAAGCGCGCGCCCAGGCAACGAATACAGATTCGGCTGCTTGCACGATGCTCAAATATTTCCCAGCCGTCCATATGGACACCGTTGGCACTACAGCCATCGCGCTACCATGGTGAACGCCAAATAACGAACAAAGGGGAGTTTCTGGTCACAGCCTTGGCCACGAATAGATGCTCCGACATAGATATAAGGAATCGTCGGGACATGAGAGCCCCTTCTGAAACCGAAATGGACCTTATCTCAGCGTACTGGCTGTACCAAGATGCGGAATGTGGACCAACTTCGCAAAACGCGTCAAGATATGAGGGTCAACTGGAACATACAGAAGAAGATCCACGCATACAAGAAAACGGAGGGGCACACAAAAAGAGGAGAAAGCCGCATCAAATTTGAAAAAACGCAGTGCGGGCAAAGATGCACTGGGAGAGGGAGGCACAGACCGAAAAAGGGAGGGAAGGGGTGAATGGTGAAGGCACGAAGAGGCGGGCTGGGAAAAGGTAGGGAGGGGATAAGCGAAGGAAGGACGGCCAAAGGAAACATGGATGCACAGTACCCACCGCAGGACCTTGCGAGAGAAGTCGGACAGAGAGGCGGCGAAGGCGCCACGTCCTTTTTGTCCTTTTTGGCCTTCTTGTCGTCATCCGAAGCCTCCTTGTCGGTCTCCTCTTCGGCCCGCTCCTTCTCCGCATCCCTGGACTTGTCCTTCTTCTCCTTCTTGTCCTTCCTCTCCGCCGCCTTTTCCTGCACCTCGTCGGTCTTACCCCTTTTGGAATGGGCGCCAGCCCTACACGCCTACGCCGATGCTGGCAGGGCCAAAGCTGGACCCAGGCTCTGTGCACTCGGGGCGGACGAGAGGAGGGAGGAGGAGGAGGAGGAGGAGGACGAGGCGGAGGAGAAGGAGAAGGAGGAGGAGGAGGAGGAAAGAAGGAGGAAAGAGGAGGAGGAGGAGGAAGAGGAGGAGGGAGGAGGGAAGAGGAGGAGGAGGGAAGAGGAGGAGGAGGACGAGGAGGACGAAGTAGCAGATCAGCTGAAGGCGCTGGTTTTCCCATCGCCGGACGCACCCCGTGCATCGAAGAAAGCGCCCAGCGGCAGGGCCAAAACCAGAGGCACGCAGCAGGTTTCGCAATCCTTTGTCCCATTCCCCCGCCCGTCCGTCCGACCCGACGCACGCCCTCCGAGCTCGGCTGGAAAGGCGCACCCTCCGACATGTTTTTGTTTGATCTACGGCCCCATAAATGCTGATATCATCATCGCCGTGGTCATATATATATATATATAAATATATATACACATACATACATGCACACACATACAAACCTAGATATGTGCGTATATATAAATATGTGTCTTTATCTATGATATCGGAAGTGAGGGGGTGAGATCGAAGCGGAACGGGGAGCCCCCCTACCGGGAAATCGGTTTCGGTTTCGTGTTCATGCGTGCCGTGCGTGCGGGCGAGGCGAAGCTGCGTGGGCGAGCGAGAAATGTCCCGCCTCTGGCTGAGGCGCGGCCGGACCAAAGTCTCCCTTCCGGCAACCAGTGCCGCGCGATGTCCCGCCGGTGTCCCGCCGGTGTCCCGTCGGTGTCCCGGTGATGAAGATGATGATGATGACGATGTTGATGATGATGATGATGATGGCCATGGTGGTGATGATGATGGTGTCCCGATGATGATGATGATGATGATGATGATGACGATGATGATGATGGTGATGCTGATGTTGCTGATGATGCTGATGACGGTGTCCCGATGATGATGACGATGATGCCGATGATCCGGATGATGTTGATGATGATGAGATGATGAAATGATGCTGCTAATGATGATGATGGTGTCCCGATGAAGATGATGAAGTTGATGCTGATGTTGTTGGTGATGAGAACGGTGATAATGATGATGGTGTCCCGATGATGATGATGATGTTTATGATGATGATAATTTTGGTGACGACGATGGTGTCCCGATGATGATGATGTTGATGTTGAAGATGATGAGGTGATGATGATGATTTTGGTGGTGGTAGCCCGAAGATGATGATGATGATGTTACTGATGATGGTGACCCGATGATGATGATGATGATGGTGATGCTGATGGTGACGATGATGATGGTGTCCCGATGATGTTGATGTTGATGATGCTGATGTTGCTGGAATGATGATGGTGTCCCGATGATGATGATGATTTTGATGTTGTTCATGATGATGATAGAATGATGATGATGGTGGTGTTCCGATGATGTTGATGATGATGGTGTCCCGATGATGATGTTGATGATGATGATGGTGACGATGATGGTGTCCCGATGATGGTGAAGATGGTAAGGCTGATGATGGCAATGGTGGTGATGATGATGGTGTCCCGATGATGATGAGGTTGATGATGCTGATGTTGCTGATGTAGATGATGGTGTCCCGATGATGATGATGATGGTGTTGATGATCCTGATGACGTTGAAAATGACGAGATGATGAGATGGCGATGATGATTAAGATGAGGATGGTGATGCTGGTGTACCGAAATGACGCTGTTGATGGAGCGGATGTTGATGCGGTTGCTGATGATGATGACGGTGGTGATGGTGCTGGTGTCCCGATGATGATGATGATGATGATGATGACGATGACGGTGTTCTATGGTGATGATGATGGTGTTGATGATGAGGGCGACGATGAGGTGGCGATGAGTTTGATGATTGTGGCCCGAAGATGATGGTGCTGATGTTGATGATGACGACGGTGTCCCAATGATGATGGTCATGATGATGGTGATGGTGATCGTAAAGATGATGATGGTTTCCCGATGATGATGATGATGTTGATGATGATGGTGCTGATGATGCTGGTGTCCAGATGATGATGATGATGTTGACGATGTTGTCCATGATGATGATGATACGATGATGGTGGTGGGCTTCCGATGATGATGATGATGGTGTCCCGATGCTGAAGATGTTGATGATGATGATGGTGACGTTGATGGTGTCCCGATGATGATGATGATAGTGACGATAAAGGTTGATGATGATGGTGATGAGGTGATGATGATGGTGGTGCCCCAATGGTGATGATGATGTTGATGACGTTGACGACGACGATGACGATGATGATGATGACGTTGATTGCGAGATCGATTGTGATATCGAACGTGAGACCAAATGTGAGATATATTGTGAGACCGAAAGTGAGAGCGATAGCGAGATCGACTGTGAGATCACATAGCCATATCGATTGTGAGATCGATCGAATGAAATAGATCGAGCGAGCTCGATTGTGACATCGATCGAGTGAGATCGTTCGAACGAGACTGATAGTGAGATCGATAGTAAGATCGATCGGGTGAGATGCCGCCCCCCCCCCCCCATCCGAACCCCCATTATCACCCTAAGGGTGGTCGTATAGGTATATACATATACATATGTGTATAAATATGAATACTGTATTAGTACATCGTCATGTGTCGGTTCGCCCTCACCGCTGCAACCTATGATTCGTGAGACCTGTTCCATAACAGGGCACTTCTTAAGCTGTTCGAACGACTGACCGCGGGCCACATGTCCTCGCTGGGGCTTGGCATCCTGCTCAACATCACATAAAAGATGTAGCACAATCGCGCGAATTCCACGTCGGCCTTCTTTGCGCCCCCGTCGATATTACACAGACGAAGATAACTAAACGAAAAGACTGCGCCATGATCTGGCCGCACAGATGCACGTTGAACGACGACGCGCAGTCTCCCCCTCGAAAGAAGCACATCCAGCCAAGAGCTGTTTCATCGTCTTGCTCAAAGGAGTTGCGGTTATTCGAAAGCTTTGTCTTTTGGCTCACCAGATCGGATGCGAGGGCAGCCCCCCTGCGCGAATCTCACTGCGCGAACCCTTCTGGGTCGCCCAGCGCCAACACCTGGACGCTGACTCCCCGCGTTGGTTGGAACCAAATCAGCACCTCATCAGACTCCGTCTCCGCGGCAGTTACCGCCCAGCACGCATGCCTCGAATTCCCGGGAGACTCGGCAAGGCGAAAAAATTGCGGATGGTTGATTCCCAGTCCATCTCCATCGCCTCTGCCTCGACGCCACAGCCCCTATCCGCGCGGGGGGGCCGATCCAAATGCCCCGCCACCCGGGGCCGCCGCCCCCCCGCGGCCCATCACCTCCGGGAGGACCTGGCCCTCCATCGCAGCCACCCGGAAAGCCCGCAGAGCCGCCGCCACCTGGCCCATCACCCCTGGGCGGGCCCCCGGGCCCTCCGGAGCCTGGATTGTTATTCCGCCTGCAAGGGCCAACCACAAAGGCAGCTGTCGGGAAGGTCATCGCCCCGCCCCCCACCACCGTCATCGGGCCCAGGGCCCCTACGTATACTGGGCCCCCGCCACCAACGGTCGCCCGCGGTGACCCCCAGCGCTCTACGGGGCTAGATTCCTCCCCTTCAAATGGCTCGCACGCAACTGTCTTGCTCCTCTAGTGCAATCCCCTCGGGCATCGCCGAAAAATGATTGTTCGGCCTTCCGCGCCTTCGCGTCTTAACTCGGGAGTGATCGCACCCCTCCAACGCTTGCAACTCGGACTCCACAAGCTGAACTCTCTCCTCGGCAACTTTGCGGTTCGTTCTTCTTCCCCCACCCCTTGACGCTCTGCGATTTCTCGTTTGCGCCCAACTACTCCGGCCGAGGCCTCACGGGACGCCCCCGCGACGATTCGCCCCCGCCATTGCGGCGGCGCGCCCGAGGGGGGGAACGAGAAGGGGCGGACCACCCCAGGAGGCCCGCAACGCCCTCGGCCCCCTGAGAAGTTCGAAGCCCCCCCCGAAGACACAGAGCAACATCAGGGGGCCCGAGGGCTTCCTGGAGGCCCCGCCGCCCCCCGAGAAGACCCGCACCCCTCCTCGCTTCCCCCCGGGCGCGCCGCCGATCCTTATGCTCTCCCCTATGAACTGGCAATTCCGTTCGAGCGCCTCCACTCGCGACTCTGCATCTGATTCGCCATCATTCCCCCGCCCTGCTGCAACGCGCGCCCCGTGTTCGGACCTCCCAGATCCATCGTCGCCCCCCCCCTTCCCTGCGACTATTCTATCCT